GATTACATAATCAGTTCCCCAGTCACTAGCTAACCCTTTTCATGCACCATGATGTTCATGTTTTTTATGTTATAGAAGACGCATACAGTGTTGCCAAGAAAGCACTAAAAATGAGTCAGGCCCCATAAAATCATAATTTGAAAATTAATAAACTTGGTTTATTTGCCTTCTGGTGTTTGAGCCTTTTGTTCATGTTGTAAAGCTTTTCTCTGCAAGCATGAGGCTATCTACTTTGAAAGCTTTGATTCTCACAATCACGACTCCAATTTTCATCACCGCTATACAGAAAGGATGTCGAGAAACTGGAAAGGATCCAGAGGAGAGTGACAAAAATGATCAAAGGGTTGGAATGCAAGCTATACCACCAAAGGCTGAAGGAACTGGGTGTTTAATTTGGAAAAGAGGTGATTAAGGGGGGACATGATACTGGTCTTCAAATACTTGAAAGGCTGCCATAAGAAAGATGGAGAAAAAGTCTCAGAGTAGCAGCCGCGTTAGTCTGTATCTGCAAAAAGAACAGGAGTACTTGTGGCACCTTAGAGACTAACAAATTTATTTGAGCATAAGCTTTCATGGGCTACAGCCCACTTCATCAGATGCATAGAATGGAACATATAATAAGAAGATATATATACATACAGAGAACATGAAAAGGTGGAAGTTGCCATACCAACTCTAAGAGGCTAATTAATTAAGATGAGCTATTATCAGCAGGAGAGAAAAAAAAAAACTTTTGTAGTGAAAAAAAAAGTCTTCTCTCTTGCCACAGAGGGCAGGGCAAGAGGCAACAGGTTTAACCTACAGCATAGCAGATTTAGATTAAATCTCAGGAAAAACTTCCAAACTGTAAAAACCGTAGGACAATGGACCAGACTGCCTAGGGAAGTCATGGAATCTCCATCACTAGAGGTTTTCAAAAGGAGGCTGGATAGCCATCTGTCTTGGATCATTTAGGCACAACAAATCCTGAATCTTGGCAGAGGGTTAGACTAGATGATCCTTGCAGTCCCTTCTAACCCTATGGTTCTGATTCCAAGAGTTGCAGCTTTAAGAAAAACCCCAAATTAAAAACCTGGGGCAGGTGTTACCAAAAACCCCCTTTGTCTACCCCCTCCAGAAATCTGAAGTGACAATGACAGCTTTATAAAGCTAAAAAGAGGAAGACCAGGGGCCTGAGACTGTGCTCAGTACACTGGTGCTAATCAGAGTCATTCCACTGAAGCCAGTGGAGTTACTTCTATGTAATACTGGGCTAAGGGAATCAGGAAATCTAACTTGGTACTTGATGCTTGGTACTACCTGGGTTACCTTCTGTTAGTGGATCCGAATAATTATGTTTGGGGACCCAATTCCACTGTGTAATGCAGACAAAACTTTAACTACGTTCAAGCCTTGGACTCTGATCCTGACTTTCTCTGTACCCTCAGCTCAACTCGTTCTCTCATCATAGCATCAGATTCAGAATCCAGTGGCCTCTTCTGCATCTTTGGAGTGTCCAAAGCTTTAGCTAAACTCTAAGCTTAAATTCCACAGTGATGGAACCCTCCTTAGGCTTGTTACACCACAAAATAGAACCATAATTGGGTCAGTGCACCACAGTATTGTAAACCAGACTGTATTTTTGTTTTATCCTTAGTGTAAACGGGCCCTGAATCACTGCTTCAGTTTTCCATGTGTAAAACAGGGATAATAGAGAAGTATGGGGTATATTGCAAGAATTAATTAATGAATGTTTAAATGCCTTGAAATCCTCATATGAAAGATGCAATACAAGTACAAATACTACTCATTAATGCAAGTGTGAGCAAAACCATTTTAATCCAGAGAAAAATATTAGAAAGGAAAGCCACACAGAAGAGTTGGACAGTATGGGAAGAATAAATCATACAAAATAAACCAAGAAAATTTAAAACCCCAAAATAATGCCCCTCCTCCCCCCTGCCAACAAACAAAACACCATAGCACGGGAAAGCTGTTAAAAAAATATAACAGTACAAGAGTTAAATTCAAGTAAAAAGAAAAAACCCAACACACTTGCAGCCAGAAATAAAAGGACCCCTCTTTTTACACAGAAACAATATTTTCTTTTCTAGTCCCTCTTAGGTCCGAAAGGGCTGGGAGAAGAAATGGAAACTCAAAGACGCATCTCTGCTGAGAGTAAAGTGTGTGTTTTTATCTATCAATTTCTCAAACCACAGTTTATAGATAAAGAAAGAACCTGCTAAAACCCCAATGTTTTAAGGCTTAAATAAGCAGCTTAATCATAGAATCATCGGACTGGAAGGGACCTCAAGAGGTCATCTAGTCCACTCCCCTGCACTCATGGAAGAACTAAGTACTATCTAGACCATCCCTGACAGGTGTTTGTCTAACCTGCTCTTAAAAATCTCCAATGATGGAGATTTCACAACCTCCCTAGGCAATTTATTCCAGTGCTTAACCACCCTGACAGTTACAAAGTTTTTCCTAATGTCCAACCTAAACTGCCCTTGCTGCAATTTAAGCCCATTACTTCCTGTCCTATCCTCGGAGGTTAAGGAGAACAATTTTTCTCCCTCCTCCTTGTAACAACTTTTTATACTTGAAAACTGCTATGTTAGATTTAAAATGTTAGATTTTGTTTCTGTTTTTAGCCTCCGCCTCCCCTGGCTGGTTGATACAGTGTTCTACTCTGCTACTCCTCCACATCATCAGAACAGGCAGAAAACTAAATAAATGATTGACCTTTAAAACTTCCAATGTATGTCCTCAGTGAGGACCAGTCACATGGTACATGTGAAAAAAATCTGTGCTATGAATGTCTGAGTTATCACTAACAGCTGTTCCGCCTGTATCAGTGTGCAAGGTTCTAGTTCCTTCAAGCCTATTAAAATGATCACAATTGACTATGCTGACAGCCACCTGATACAGACAAAAGAGTATGCCCCTCTGTTGAATGTATCCAAGAATGGGATCACCTTCACTATAGCAGATGTTCTTTAACTTTTATGCTAATGGGAGCATTATGTTACTCTTCCCTCCCCCCACCCCCTTTCTCACTAATGACAAATGCCAGAACAATCAGAATCTGAAAACTTTCCATATGGAAAAACTGGAACAGAATGATGTTAACCTAATCATCGGTGCTAGGCTTTCAACTGTTGTTGGGGGCTAAAAGGGTCCAACAGAGCAGTCTGCTTGTTAAAGAACCATACCAGCTGTATCATGGAAACGGCATAAATATCTTATAAATCTCAATCTAGATGAGGAAATGGTGTTTCCATAATGAATATGCTGTATACCATTACAGTTCTTGTTTTCTTGCATTTTAGCAATGACATCATGTTCTTTCTGTATGAGTTTAATTGCAGCCTCACTTTAATGCTGCCAGTGATAAGAAACTATGCTATTAGCACTGCTCTTAAAGAGACAAAAAGCTTTAATGAATACCATGAAGAGCTACAGAAGCTCTTAAAATGAAAGGAGTCCATCAATCAGATTTATTCTGAAGAGTGCTTTTTAAATCTAACCTAGCAGGTTGAATTTTAAATACCAAAATATTCTCTTCACTGTTCTGCAGTTAAAAAAAAAAAGAAAGAAAGAAAAAGGAAAAAAAGGGCCTGCCAAAGTTCAATTACTGAAATATTGTTGGCAAAGAAACTGCAACGACAATTGCATGCTTAAGATTGAAGATATAATTCAAAATACTTCAAATAATCCCTCAGCAGTGATTTACAGGGCAGTAATTTAAAAGGATGGTACTATTTAGGCCCCAAATCTGCAATGATACATGGGAGCAATCCCATTGAAGCACACTGGAAGTCTTTGCAGGATTGGGGCCTTAGATGGAAACATCAGTTTGTAAGTTTAGATTTCATATACTAAAATACATACACCAGCAAACAAGAAATATACATAGGATTTTAAGATAGAACCCTTCATTCACAATAGGTACACTCTGAAGAATCTCTACATAACAGTATTTGTTTGGGGACATTCGCAAAACATTGAAACTTTGGTTTACACAGTAAGGGCCCTACCCAGCTGAAAACAGCAGTGGAATTCCAAGCCATGCAAACTACTGAAGGCTGTGGATACTAGCAGTGCAGAAGCCATCCCTTTTAGCATGGCCATTTACAGGCCAGGCCTAGAATTGCTCTGTCTTCCCTGCCAAAGCCAGGCAGTTCATGGAACATAGCACAGCCCTAAGGGTAGAGGAACTGTGCTGCATAGCCCTGGGAGGATGAGACTGACTCCAAGCTTGGCCTCTAGCAGGCAGAGCTTTTTTTAAAGGGATACCTGAGAGTTAAGAAACCAGGGGTGCAACAGAGTGGGGCCCAGGTCCCCCGGCTTAGCCCTTGACCAGAGTTGGGTGGCATAACAGTGGAGCCCCTTCCCTGCTGGTGTGACAAAGGAGTGGGCAGGCCAAATTTGAGTGGTCTTGCAACCCCATGTACCAGGTCACAGAATCAGTCAAGTTTGGCCTGGCTGCCTCTCTGTCATGCCAGCAGAGAAGAGACTCCACTGTTACGCCACCCAGCTCTGCCTCCCTAATGCCATAGGTGTGCCCTGTCCCCAGCCCACTGCTGGGAACCTGACCCAGAACCTGATTGGCTCTCAGCTTGCAAAGAATCAGCCAAAGGGGAGGCAGTATCTCAGACAGGAAATAAGGCATAAATGTTTAACATAGAGTAATTAGCCATTGGAACAAGTTACCAAGAGTTATGGTGGATTCTCCCTCACCAGCAATTTTTAAATCAAGATTGAATGCTTTGCTGTAGGAATTATTCTGGGGAAGTTCTCTGGCCTGTGGTATACAGGTCAAACTAGACGATCACAGTGGTCCCTTCTAGCCTTGGAATCTGAAAATTGTGGTTGTCTTCCTAGAAAGAACCATCTGTTTTCCCATCCTCTAGTAATCAAGGGAGTTTCCCCAGTAGCTTGTGTGCTAAGTGGCTATTCCTAATGGGGTATTACTCTTTTCTTCTGGTATAAGTAGTGGGGTTACTCTTCAGGTCACATCACTCCTCTCTTCTTCTCCTCCCTCATTGAGCTCTAAAAACAAACCCTTTAAATTTTTTTCAATGACTGGCTGTGGAGTCAAAGTGGGGAAGAACCTGCCTAGCATAAGGCATTTAAGTGATTCCCTGAGTCACCCAACTTGATTCCTATGATTCCTTGATTCAGTTTTTACATCTGGCAATCAGGCCGGGAAGGCTCAGACTTCACCAGCATTAAGAGGGCACCCAGGAACTGCCCAATGAACTATTCCACAGGATTACAGAGGGCTACTTTTCCCTCAGAATAGGGAGTCTCTGAAGCTGCCAGGAGGCACAGATCTTCATGAGTAGCTATTGTTATTGGAACGTGTCCTAAATCAATGTGGTACATACATTTTTCTTCAGAAACATTTAGTTAAATATATAGAAACAAGAATAAAAGTGATTGGAAGTTCTTGTTAAGAATATTAAGTCAGTGCTTTAATTTTGGAAGTTGTTTCACTCCTGCAGTCTTTTTAATTGGTCCTTTTTTTGGATCCAGAATCCTTTGATTTTCTGGAACATTATGTCTTCTTCTGAAATAAAGTCAGAAAGGTTAGTCATTACATGTCACTTACACGATGATGCTCCAGAAACTTGAACTGCTGGAAATTGGCATGCTTTTCATATTAAAATAACTGATTATTATGGTTAATTAATAAACAGTTTCTTTCTGGGTGTGAGGTTGAGCATTTAATTATTCTGTATACAAATCCCAATCCTCATCTCATCATTCCTGAATAACTTTATATTATTTAAATGATGAAATTTTAAAGGAACATGAAGAGAATATTAAACATTTGTATAAACAGGAAGGCAGCAGGCTGGGGAGACATTTTCACCACTTATATGCTCCTGATCAAGACATGGAAATTACTGTCTGCACCTGTAATTAGAGCTCTCTGCAGGCAGTGTCCTCTAGAGAGCCATGCTCTTAAGTCCCATGCCCTTACATATAAAACTTTGGTAGCTGACTAACAAGTTTACATTCACTTCATGGGAATAACTCCCCTAAGTGTTATTTATTTACTTTTGGATCAAAGTTTAATTTACAGGACTATAGAACAGAATTTCCAAGGGAAGAAAGGTGACTAAGTAAATCCACAAAGCCATTCTCAGGAGGATGCAGGCAGCATCTCTCTACTATTATGCAAAACAGCTAAGTATCTCTCTATTCATCCTTGCAGTATCTGAGCATTTTATATAGTCTAACATACAAGGTTTCAGTTTCTCTCTCACCCCAGTTGAGAAAGGAGGAAGGGAATATATATCAATTACATACATGTGTCTGTGCACTGATGATTGGAGAAATATTCTGCATATTGTTCAATGGTGAAAGCTGCGGTCATTTCATATGTTCTGGGAATGAGTTGCAGGTTTCTGGGCAAGCTGCCAAGAAAGCGCCATCTCCAGTGCTCTCTAGTTTCACTTTTGAGGTTGCCAAGTTCCATTGTTCTAACTATCATGAGCAGTATATGGGGCCTGCTTCCATTTAAAGCTTCGAAGATCAGGGCCAAAGTCTTGAATCTGACTCAGTAATCAATAAGGAGCTGTTGCAGAGCTGAGTAGACAGACAGATCAATCTCTCCTCACCCTCCAGTTCCCATGTTTTTCTACTGTCGTGCAAGTGTCTAAAGGCCCATCTGACCTGACCCAGGAACCACGGTAAGAATCACTATTTAAACTGGGTTCTAATTCAGCCAAAATGTACCAGCAACCATGATTAAACAAAGTTTAGATATTGTTTATTAACCTGATTTGAAACCCAGTGAAGACAAAGCTTTGAAATATCGGTTGAAATTAGACGAGAAGCTGCTGGAGGAAATTATGAGGTTATTCTCAAGGCCTGAATTTATTGCATAGTTTTACTCTGGAATTTAAATGGAATTACTTCTAATTTGCATCAGTGTGAGTGAGAGCAGATTCAGGCCCCCAGTCTTTAAAGTCATTAGAGTAGTATTTATGGAGGAATAATGACAATAGCTCTCTGTTAAATTCTCCATACATTGAAGGAGTTCCTCACTTGTGCTTGCTACTTCCTGATGATACACACTGTGACATATCACCACTCTTTGGTATAAACTGCCAGGTGAGATCAAGGTGGGAACTCACCAGGCTCAAGGTTCTAAGCAGTTGGCTACAGGGATAGCTCAGTGGTTTGAGCATTGGTGTACTAAACCTAGGGTTGTAAGCTCAATTCTTGAGGGGGCCATTTAGGGATCTGGGGCAAAAATCTGTCTGGGGATTGGTCCTGCTTTGAGCAGGGGGTTGGACTAGATGACCTCCTGAGGTCCCTTCCAACCGTGGTATTATATGATTCTAAGCAAAAGGTGAAGAAATCCCATCATGTGCATAAAGTCATTTGAAAAGTGCTGACTAAGGTTACAAAACCATCAGCTTTGAGAGGAGGAGGTGATGCAGTGGTAATCTGTCACAACATGTATCTTTCCAGAACAACAACTACAGGAAAGTATTTTTTGTCTAATATAAAAAGAATTAAAGACAGCAACTGTCATAATACTCCCAAATAAATACTGGTCCAAACCCCACAGAACAGTGCTACTATTCAGCTGGTACTCAATGTCTGGCTGTTGCTGGCTTCCTTAGTCCCTCCAGAGGGAGTAAGGGAGAAACATGCTGGCTCTGCCCTCTCTGGCCACCTCCATAGGAGCTATATAAAAACACAGCCAGAGCCAGAAACTGCCTATGGGCTGCATATTAAGTATTTAAGAGCCACACAATACTTGTCTGATCTTAAGAATCCTTAGTAGCAGACATTAAACCTTACTCTAATAACAGTAATCTACTGAATGCTCACCATGAGACCAAAGAGTGGGAATCAGTGAATATAGTTAACATTGCAGAATATATCTTATTCATGTCCTGAGTAAGAGGTTAAAATAGAAAACAGGTGGGAAAACTATTTCATATCAATTATCTTTTATAATCTAATGATGGGACAGCTGTTCTCAATTTGTATCATGGCTCAATTGCAATGATATAGTTAAGGATTTGTTAGTGTTTCCATTTTCAGTAAAGAATCAGCTTCAATTTGAAACTTGGTTTATCAGAGCTCAGCCCAGACACACATTTTTATGTTCTAAATTCCCCCAAACAGCTTCGTGCTCTTCACATTTAAAAATTTGGGGGAAACTCTTTTGCACCTGTGTAACTAAAAACTGGCTTTGATTTATTAAGCAATTAGGTCTTAATATGAGTTCATCTAAAATTACTCACCTTCTCATCCACTAGACAGCTGTACACTCTCTATTGACTGAGAAGAACCAGGCTGAACATTTAATTGCATTACTGTTAATGGACTGGAGAATGTAAGAGCAGACTTAAAAAAAAAAATAGGCCTTTTTGCTGACTGAGATTTATATGTAAGGATGCCAAAACCTTCTGTTAGGTTCCACAAAGGCCACTTACATTGTATGAGTACTGTACTATCATTCTGTAATAGTCTATGTTAGTAATAAGCTGATTTAAAATCAGTACCAAGAGTGATATGGACATCAATATTTTGTCAGTAAGATTATCTGCAGCAATCTTTATCTTGGATAGAGGGCTATGATAGTCAAGGGAGAGTATTTAGATAAATGTATTAAGTCAGAAAATGGAGGGAATATGAAAGAGTTACCTCAGTATTTGGTTTTTCCTCTTGATCTGCACTGCATCTGTTTTCTGCCTCTCAGCAATTTTAAGTGTAGCTGATGTCTGCAATGGTCAAATTTTTATAAAGCAAGTTATCCTCCAAGTATATATGTTGTTAGGAAAGCAAAAATTCTCCTCACGTTGATTTTGAAAAAGACAAGCACTATGACCCTGATTCAGCAAAGAATTTAAGCTCATACTTAAGGTTATGTCCCATTG